GGGGAGGCGGCAGCATGGGACACATGAGTGAATTTGTGGCAAGTGCCAAATCGGGAGGGGAGAGAGGGGGGGTTCCATATGACTTAGGGTGCGTCACTCATTCTTCACCCTCCTGTAGTGCATGAGATAGATATCTGCGTCATGACCTGTAGACGATGTTGACACAAACCCCACACACACACAAAGCATACCCATTACATGTATGAGCCATACGACATGAATGAGGAGCAATGACCCATCTGGTTGAGACAAGTGTTTCCAAACATTACCTCTCATCATTCACATTTTAAGTTTAAAAATAACTAAATAACAATTTTGTTTTACTGACAAGACTTGCATCTTAGAGGAAGTCCCACAATCAAACAGTTTAAAAGCTACCAACGCCGTTGCCTCTATATGTGTACCTAATCAGTTTAGATATAAATCTATGAAAAGGTTTTAACAAACAGTTTAGGTGAAGAATGACGATTGATCATCCCTTACATCGTTATTAAAGTTTCAGCAGTGAGCTTTCAAAGATTCTTAGCCACTCAAGAAGATAAGATAGAGCTCAATTAAACACCTATTGCGAAAAATCTGGTTGTGGCACTGATTGTGAGATACGTACCGACAGTTGCAGGTGGCTGTGTGCTTTTCACTGCAGGGGCCTCTTTTGCTATAGCTACTGGAACAGCAGTGGGCTGTTCCTTGATAGGTTCCACTGGTAAAGCAGGTGTTGCTGCTGATACTGGGGCCGTAACTTTTGGTACGGTAGACTCTGCAGGTCCTGTCACAGTTGCAGTTGTCGAGGGTTTCGATTCAGCTACTTCAGACGTGCTGGCTGAAGCAGGTGCAGGTGTAACCACTGGCACTTCTTTGCCCGTTATAACAGAAGCGGCATTTTTATTCTTCATCCAAGGGTTGACTTTGGGAGGCGGAGCCTCAACAAACTTCTTTTTGTCACTAGCATCTGATGGACTGTCAGACGAGTTGCCATCTTCTGTGTTTGAATTTGTTGCGGGTTCAGCAGCCTGTTGCTGCTGTTGCGCATTCTTTGATTGAGGCTTTTCAGGTGCCTCCTTTGGAGAAGCCTTGGTGGGCTTGTCCACAGTCTCGGGGCGGGCTGGCGCTGGCTCAGCCTTCAGGTTGAGCAGAGCTCCGGCGTAAGAGGCCGTGGACTCAGCGGCAGAGGCCGGAGCCTGGGCCGTCTGGGCAGGGGCCGGGGCCGGGTTCAGGCCTGCAGCTGCGGTGGCTGTGGCGGCCATTTTGCGGGCCCCAACCTAGACCTCCGCACGACTAGCCGGGGCGCAGCTGCGTCAGCGGGGCAGCTGGGCGAGGTGTCAGCACCTGCAGGTGCACAGGACGCCGCGACCAGGACCTGGCGCGCGGGGGACCGCGGGGTGGGCGACACAATATGGTTCGAGCCTCGAGGCTTAACACTGGCCACCCTGCAGCATGGACGGGCCAGCCGAGCTGGGCTGGTGAGGTTCTGTTCGCTCACTTGAACTCGGCACTATCGCGACACGACACAGTAAAGCACACGACGGAGGCCCTCAACAACATGACATCCAGATGCGGCTTCGGCGAACCACTCATGCACCGGGCCACTTTGTGCCTTGGCCTTTTGCACGGCTTGAACACACTGCGCTGCGTGCCCGTGCACGTCTCGCAAACATATTCCCGATAACACTTTTCAGCGCCGTCGTGTCGTCCGCTGCAAAGGGCTCACACACGACAAACTCTTGCACACAAGCGCCGGGCGCCCGGGACACGTTTCATAATGTTTACACGGCACTCTGCTTTCAGTTTTTCGCGAGATTCGGGGTTCGGCCTGGCCGAGCACATGTGCTGCGTTGTGACCAACACAGAGACGTGACGCTCTCGCAGCTCGCGACAAAAACATGCGGTAGATGGCGCTGCAAGATCCAAGAAAAACGTGGAGCTGAGAACCACCCGTTCGATGTATCGATGCTGGCAACACGGCTGTTTTCCGAGCAAAAACTGGTTTTATAGCGTTTTCATCGAGTGATGAGTGTATAAAATAAATATTTCTTACATTTATGATTCCTAATCTTGGAGTAGTTGCTTTTACTCGAGCGCGAATCCACCTTTTCTTGTTCCAGGTGAGATTAAAGGGTGGAAGAACGAGGCTAGTTTGTATATTTTTCATCTTCTTGTTAACAATGTAGCCTCTCTTCGGTATCTTTTCTAAAGTGATGTTTTGGTGGAGCAAAGTGACAGAAAATTTTGATTCTGGCAGATTTCAGTTTTTCCAACCTGTATCGTTTTTGACAATTTCGAGGATAGTATTTTCAGTAAACTTCCTGCCACCCGTCCGGATCCTTCTCCGTTTTAGAAATATTCAGAAGTCAATAGCTGGCATTGTTTGTTTCTCGGGATTTCGACTCTGGTAAAGAGCAACATGTAGGATGTAGGGCATGATTCTCGTCGCATCGTCTGGCAGTCCTGTCAGCAGAAGACTAGGACTAGGATGAGTCACTGATCCTGTGTTGTCAGTTTTTGAAAGTCCTTTCAACATCACATGTATACCTGAATGAACAAGACGAAATGGATGACATCAGAGATATGGACAGCATTCCCAACCCAACTGTTATTCTTCGTAGAATGGCTGAAAAAGTTTCAGCATTAGAAGTGGACCACAATTTGCCTGCTATCATGTAAGTCTTCTTTTGAAACACTAAAAACACTTGAAACTCACAATGTTTTGCCACGGTAGTCTTGTTTGCTATTGCTGCTTGGTACGTCACAATGGTATTCTCGACACATGATGCCTATTATGTTGTCCGACAGGTACTTTCGGTCAGGGCTTCAGATGGTACGAATGGCAGACATGTACTTCAAACAGGGCAGTTTAAAGGATGCATATCTTCTTTATTTGAGATTTATCACGTAAGTAGATTACTGTGCACTTTTATTTTTATTTTTTGTTTTTGAAACAGTTCTCATAATTTCAATCTATAGCTTATTTCTGGAGAAAATACGGGAACATCCCGGCTGGGCTTTGTTGCCCAATGAAGATAGGAGAGTAGCCTCTGATAAGCTAAAGGAGACAATACCAAAAGCAGAAAAATTGAAAGAACTCCTTCGTCAACAGTTTCAGCAGGAGTACCAGCAAAAGGTATCTATCCGTATTCTACTGAAAGATTATCATTACATACTTGGTCGAAATATTTTTTAACCAAAGTAAATGTTTGCAAAGGTTTCCAAGCAATTGGAGGTAGAAAGGCAGCGTAAGATTGCTGCTGAACAGGAAGCAAGAAAACTAGAACTTGAAAGACAGAAGCAACAACAACAGCAGCAACTAAAGCAGAGGCATGAAACTGTCATAACAAACAACCATATGACTTCTGATGTTGTGACTGGACCAGTTGTTCCATTAGACAGTATTGTGTATCCTGATGCTGATGTGCGCAATAAACAGCAAATTACTCAACCTTCTGCGCCAACTTTTGAGCCTCCTGAAAGCCTGGCTCCTGCCGGTTTTAATTCTAATGATCAAAAAAGTGGAGCATCTAGGTAAGACATAATCTTTAAGTTTTGCTGCCTCAAAACTCATGAGATGCTTAGAAGCATCAGAAGTAGAATTTTTCTACGAGGCACCTATAAAATAGAAGTAAATTTTGTGGTTCCTTGAGAACCTAGGTAAAGGTGGACTTAAAAGTCTCAGCTAAATGCTTGATATTACTATGTCATTTTGTCAGCAGGCTCCCATCATTTGACCGGAGCACCAAACCAGCCTCTCTCCTCAGTTTATCAACCCAATCTCATCATGGATTACGCATTGTGGTTGTACCAAGTCAATTGGTTGAAAGATTCTTAGTATTGGCTCATGCTTCTACCCTGAAAAATGTTGAAACCTGTGGCATACTTGCTGGCTATGTGGTAAGTTCTATCGTAAATAATTTTGTTTTTACCTATCTATCTAAGCAACAATCATATTGGAATACTTGTAACACTGCATCTTGGATACTCAGGACCAAAATCAACTAGTCATATCGCATCTCATCATCCCTCAGCAGACAGCAACATCTGATTCCTGTACAACACAGAATGAAGAGGAGGTTTTTAATTATCAGGACAAGCACAATGTTATTACTCTCGGATGGATCCATGTTAGTGACATGTCTCAGAAATAATTTGAAAAACAAAACATATGGAATGGTAGAATGTAATTTAAACGCTCTTTCTTTTTCAGACCCACCCATCTCAAACAGCATTTCTTTCTAGTGTGGATTGCCACACCCATTGTTCCTACCAGTTGATGATGCCTGAAGCAATTGCTATTGTTTGTGCTCCCCGTTACAAAGAGTATGTTGTGTCTTATATTCCTTTAGTTGCAATTTTTGAGTTGTTTGTATTCTGAAAAGTGTCATTTGCCTTTCCTTATATTTTTCTAGCAATAGCATATTTTGTCTGACACAAAATTATGGCCTAGACTATGTTGCAAAATGCAAAAAAAATGGTTTCCACCCTCATCCAACTGAACCACCACTATTTATGGTTGGTAATTTTTTGTAAAAATTTGTGTGCTATATTTGTAGAACTGGTAATTATAATGTTAAAAACATGTTCTGGTTTTTTCTTTTATAGATAGCTGAACATGCCCGGCTAGAAAGTGATTTGCCTGTGGAAGTTATTGATATGCGAAGATGAATGCTTGATGAAGAGGTTTGAAAACTTCTCTAGGATTTATTGTTGAAAATTGAAATTCATTAACTTTATCTGCCTGTGGATTCGTTTGACAGTAGTTGTGCTTCAAACATGCAAACTTACAATAAAATATGTATCTAAGATGTATCTAAGGTTGCCTCTTGGCTCCTCTGCATCTGTGGCAGCTTCTGTATGAATCCTTATCTTATGACTGGCCGAACAAATATATTTTTTTTTTTCCTGAAGAAATGACTTCTTTTGAAATATCATGAGAGAATTTAGAAAAATTTAGTTTTTGTAAATTACATTGAACCCTACTTTGTTGCAATAGAGTTAAGTTACTGTACAACACCTTAATGACTGCTGTGATTGGAAGCAAAATATTGTGCATTATTATTTTGACTCAATAGGCTAAAGCAAAGGGTTTTAATCTTTATTTAAAATTTTAAGTTATGGTCAAATTTGTGAAAGGTCTTTCTTCACTTCACAGATCCTACAGCCTATTGCTAAAGCTACTGAAACCTTGCCTGACTCACTTTAATCAAGCCACTATTTATTGAGCTTAATCTAAGATTTTACCACCAAAATCCATCCTATTTTCTGTATTTTGCCTTGTGATGAAGCTCCTGCTATCCTATGTGATACTTTTATCCGCATCTGCTAAGCAAGTAAACCTGTAAACTAAGCTCTAAACCCTAGTAAAGGGTCAAAATAATTTTCTATTGTGTATCCTGATTCAAACCACTTCCTAAGTATTGTTTCATGGAAATTGACTGTGTGCACCTGTGAAATTATCCATAAGTACATGTACTTTATTTTACTCGAAACTTTGTACATTCTTGTTATCTTCTTATTTATTTTATATAATACCTTCTGTTTGTGAGACCGTCTGATTTTAGAACAGTATACGTATCCCTTAGATATGTCCAATAATATGCTGTGAGTAGTCTTCTCTTATTTGGAATAGTATGTGTCTAGTTTATAGATGACCTACCTAAAAATGTTTGTCTGCAGAGAAACCTGAGCCTAAACCAGTTTTGGTGAACTATTAATCATTTCTAATGTAAATTCAAATTTACATGATAATACTCCTCGATCTTCACTAGTCAGTCTTTTTGTGTAATGTCTTCTATTTTGTTCTTTTAAAAAAATTGAAATAGATAAATCTCTTAAAATCGTGGAGTACTGTATCATTCATCCCCTTTTCAAGATGCAAGATTCTCAAGCAAGACTTATCATTTATTTTCCTGCCAGTTTGAGATCTCGCGCTCGCGCCATTCCCGTTCGGGTTTCGGGGTCGGCGTGTTCGGAAGTGTTCGGGCCGAGTTCGGAAAGCGGTGGCGGGGAGGGGGAAGAGCACGAAGTCGACGTGTCGACGATCGCGACGACGACGAGGACCGAAGAGGCAGGCTTTGTTGTTGTGAGTTACGAAAGGCGAACGAACGAATGAGTCTTCCTTTGAGTGTGCCGGCTGCTGACTTTGTCTCCTGACTTGGCTCAAGATCCTCGTCGCTGCACCGATTAGTCTGCAAACCAAGTCTAGTTTCGAGGCCTGCCGTGTAAGGTGAGTTCAAAGAACCATCTCCGTTCATTCATCCACACATGCAAGTGACGCAGCGCGACGCTTCGGTGTGTAACGGTCCTTTTTGGACGCGGCTTCTTTGTTTGTTTTGCCCATTTCTGAATGAAGTCGGGCGAGTTCGCGAATGACTGCGAATCGCCTCGATTCCGCGAGGCGCCGCCTGCCGTGGGTGGAGGAATGTTGGGATTTGCACGTGCGAGGCCGGCCCCCTGCCTGTTGCGCGATCGCGATGCAAACAAAGGACCAGGGGGGCCGCCGGGGGCGGGGGCGTCGTGGGGGGTGGATCAGCTGCTTGTGGGGCTTTGTTTTGGACCAGGCTGGCTGGCAAACTTGCTGCCCGTTGTTGGTCGAGTCGACGGTTTAGGGTGCGGTAGGAGTACCGATGACCCTTTTGGTCCAATGATCAAAATTCCAACTACACTGTTCTATGATCTTTTTTGATTTTTGAGTATTTTATTCTTTCTGAAATTGATTTGATTGGTTTTCAGTTTGAGCGATAAAAGTCTTATGTGTCTGCCAAGAATCAGTTTGTTTAGCTTTTATTTTGGTTATTGGAGACTTTTTGTATCGGGAATAAAGAGATTAGTTTGGTCAAGCGGTGCCTCAGCGAACAAAGGGGTCCAACTTGGTCTTGGTATGCGAAAGCCCATCAGTTTCCTGAACAAAGTTTGATTTTTAACCTTTTTTTTTGTTTCAAAAGAAAAGTAATCTGTCCTGATTTGACAGTGTAAGAAAATAAAGTTAAAAGCATATATTTGTTTTCAAAATTTGCACTTTACTTTTGAACGTCAACTGTCTTGAACACTCAAAAGCCTGTGTTAAGTGGCCTTAATAAAACTC